AAAAACTAAGTAGTAAGAGATGTCTTCGTTACGATGCGTTGATTTTATTCATATTTTACTCAATTGATTTAATTTTAAATGATGATAACGATCCGGAAATAAGAATTTGATTGACTTATTCAAAAAAGTATAATTGAAAAAGACATACGTCATATTTCCTATAAATTTTCCACTTCTGAAAAACAAATGTGTTTTTGACACTTTTATATTTTCCGTATTTCTCAAATTATACAGAATTTTAATGTTTCATCCGCTATGCAGATAAAAAGAGTTTTATTGCGCGTAAATAGCAGTTATTTCTGTTGGAAAAATAACATCAGTATCTCATCCAAATGCTATAATAAAGATGGACAGGTTAACGAAAATTGCAATGTAAAATATCCTAGACTTGACAGCGGAAGATTGGCAAACGATAAAAATAATTTTAAAAGGTATCTTTTTAATGGGTAACTGTTTTATTTAATTAAAGTAGAAATCTCTCGATTATACGGTTTACGCGCTCCGAGGGTTCGCTGTATGCATTTCCTAATTGTTTAGTAAAACGTATATTTTAAAATGCACATAACATATACATACGCACTAAACGCCATATTCATTTCTAATGCTTGAAAACTATTAGTCCGGTTAATCAAGTTTTCAATATAGTAGAATTTCTGCCTCGTAACGAAATATTTTATAATTTGTAATCTTCTACCCTGAACGCCTAAGTATCTAGGATTTCTAATGTCTAACACTGCAATTACTCCGTTGATGTGGTTTTGATAAAGTCTTCGTAGATGGTACACGACGTCGAGCTGCCTGGGTCCGCTGCTGCGCGAGGAGCTAAGCTGGCGAGCCGTGGTATCGGAGGCGGAGCGTATGGTGGGCTACCCAACCTCCTTCCTGAACTTACGTTGGCTTTTTAACGATGAAATCGCTGTTGCTGCCACACAGCTTAGGAAACTGGTCCGTATATTCAGGCATACCTTAGTTAATATTTTTAATTACACGTATTTTTACAAGATGCATACTCAGAGTTGTGGCACTGATAAAAATAACTACACTGTGGTAGAGTATGATTCAGAAAGGGAAGTTCCAAAGTTTGTCGAGTTTAATTTACTCCAGTTTTCTACAAGATAGCAAAGCAATAGTAGCACCACTGCGTCTTAATGTGAAAACTCTTAACTTTTATTTGGAATTTATGAAAAAAAATCTACAGGTTGGTACCAATCATCCATTATTGAAGTCAGCCAAGAACATACTTATCGGATCCAAGAGCAATCTTCAGTCCGTCGGATTAATAGTCCTGCTGGTATCAAAAGCGGCGGGGTTCAATCCAGCTGAGTTCAGTCAGGAGCTATATACATCAGGAGTGTTGCACTCACAGAGGGCGCTAGCTGAGATCGTGGAGATGAAGAGGACGGGACATATAATACACAAGACTATGGCCAATCTTCAGGAAAAGGAAAAGCATGGAAAGAAATACGATGATCTGCTCTGTGGGAATAAAATTGTATTACTTACTGGTTAGAGGTTTTGAATTTTTACTTCTATTTGAAAAACTAACTTAACTAAAATAAAAAAAAAACAAAGAATATAAGTAAGACCTCTTTTGGACAATATGTAACCTCATACGGTGCAATACTTTGACGCCGCTTACTTACAATATGTTCTATGCGTTGCTCAGGTGACTACCTCCTGGCCAAGTGCCTGGCACACCTGGGCGGTCTGCGTAACAACGCGGTGACGGAGCTAATTTCCACCGGCCTAAGAGACCTGGTAGAGGGAGACTTCCTCGGAGAGACTGATGTTGAAGGCAATCATCTGCCAACAAAACCTAAAGGTTTGATTTATACAATTTGATAGGGACGAAGGATCAATATAAATTACAGAATTCCGCTTTTCGCTTAATCCATAAAAGTGTAAAATTATGTAATTAATATGTGCATGCTCTTATTATTATTCCGATTCGTTACGTTTTGCTTTATCTGTTGTATATTTGTATTTTCATTAATTTTATCTCAATCGGCATAGCTCGAACGAATTATTTTACTGCATACCAAAGAGATTTTGTTCCTTTGATTAAATTATAATTTGTCTCTTTCGTAATTTACTTCTTGCATTTTATGGGCCTTGACTAATTCTATTTAAGCTAAGTATATTAAGTGGCAATCATACAGAATAGTAAAATTTATTTGCAGGTGCAAATGAAATCAAAAAACGCTATGACTGGGAGAACGAGAATAACCTCGGCACACTAGGCTCCAATGAGCATCTCGGCCGAGGTATAGATGAATGGAAGCTGCGTACAATGCTGACGTCTGGCAGTCTCCTTGCCAAAGGTTGTCAAGCGGCCATGAAACTCGGCAAGCAAAGCGAGGAGATGGAAAGGGAAGCGTATAAGCTCGGTGGACATTTGGCTATGATCTGGCAACTCTATTTAGACGTCAAAGATTTTTATACTCATCCGCATTCATACTCTATGGTTGGAGCACCAGTTATTATTGCTCTATGGGAGTACCCTACTATTTATGGTCATATATATGAAGCCAAATTGGAAAAGAAGGGAGTAGAAATTAAACAATTACACTATGCTGTGCGGAGTACAAGGGCTATTGAATATTTGAAGATATTTTTAGACCAGGAATTGGACGCTGTTCTTAGATGCACTGAGATGTTTCCAGTGGAAGATGCTAGACATGCTCTACACAAAATGGCCATCTCTATTCATGGAGAGGCGGTTGAATTTCTGGAAAAATAAACACGAATTAAATTTTTCTAATTTATTTTTGCGTTGACTGTGAAATTAATAAAATATTTTTTCTTTGTATTTGGAACATTTTCTAATTTGGTCCTTACTATTTTTCAATACCAATTTGTAGGTTAGATTAAAAATGATCAATGCTTGTTCCGTTGACATTTACATATATAAAAGAAAGTCGTGTTAGTTACACTATTTAAAACTCAAGAACGGCTTTATCGATATTCCTGAAAATTGGTGAGGAGGTAGCTTAGAGCCAGGAGACGGACATGGGATACTATTTATTAAATTTTTTTATTTATTTTTTCGAATTTATGCCTTGAAGAACTGCTTTTTATTAAACTTACTAATGTTAAGTTTTTTTATATATCCACGCGGACGGAGTCGCGGTGACAGCTAGTTTTTTCTAAACTTGAATCGATTGTGAATGTACTCTGTGAAGAGTGTTAATATAATATACATAGTGAACATTGTACTTCACGAGACTACAATACTCGCAAGTCATAATTACTTTACCATGAATTTATATTTAACACTACAGTCAGCATGACGAATCACTTAAGATTTATCCATCATAATGTTATACAAGAGTTAAAACAGGATTTATTTTTAAATTTTATTTAAACATGGATAAAATATTTCATGTAATAATATTTAATTTTATAATATTTTTGCCCTTTGCCTCTTGCGTTTCGGAATCAAAAAGGCGGGAAATAACATCATATGCCGTGTCAATTAAATGGATACGTATCCGGATGCGCCAATCGTAACTTCGCTCTTCATTATCGGTTCAATGTAATTAAAAAAAATCACATTCCATATTTGAATTCTACTTTTTTTTACATTCAGAAAAAAGTTCAAGTGTTACGAGTTTCGATATGGATCCTTAAGAAAAAATAAAACAAATTTTAGCTTTGCAATTTTTATAGCAATAGCACATTCAAATAAAAAAGTCGTTCTGCAAAATGTCTTTTATTTTAAATGAAAAAAACTCTATTACTTTGGTGAGGTAATAATTAGTAGGAGTATAAATTGTTTATTACAATAAAAATTAATATTAAAACCTTGTAAAAACAATACCACAATTATTCTGCCATTTAAGATGGCATCAATACAATGAAGCCGGATCTTTTATTACTCATCTTACACATCAAACATGATTAGCGATAATATTAATAAAAAAAATGGACTTCGAACTCGGAAAAAAGTGCTGTGCCTACTACCAACAGAACAGTTAAACATATCGCCATCCTGCTCATTCTCTTTAGTAAAACAGAGACAACGATGTTTTTAGACAATTTTTTATCAAACAGTAATCGTAATCTTAAATCTACAAGGTAATCGTTAACTTGATAAGAACGTTAGAAATCGCATAAATGGTGATAAAGATACGTCTATAACTTAACCCTAATATTTCAATGAAATTATGTTCCCGACTATTTTCTTCAGATCAAAATAGCTGATAATAACTTCAGAACTCGAGCCCTTTTTGTGGCAAAATAACAATTAAAGCTAACATTTTAACAATGATATATTTGAAATGGGAATATTAAATAAAAAAAAAAACATTTGTTCGATTTCTTTTAATATCGTGAATTTATCAATATAGGAACATATCAAATAATATACCACAATATTTGTATTATTCAACGAGCAAACAAAATAATATTCGAAAATATTTCTAAATACACGCGAAACATTGGCCAATTTACATATAAAAATTAAAATAGATAAAAAGGGTGTTCCGTGATACAAATTACATATAAATAATTTCTTAATAAATAGTTTAACAATATTTACAAATATTTATAAGAGAAAAACTACAAAATGATATCTTATAAAGATAGGCAACTCTGGTACATTATAATAAAAAAAAATAATTAAAGATAATTCTTAAATTTCAATACAAACCATAATATCAAACATTAAGTATCAGCAACATATATATTACATACTAAAAACAATGAAAATAATTAATAATCAATATCTTGGTATTATAACATATGCTTATTAATTAAATTCATTCATACATACTTATTTTAAACATTATTGCATTCCAAGTGATCATCATCAGCTCACTATACGTCCGGCTCCGAGCCTACACTAAGTTAAGGGTGACTAGGCCATAGTCAACCACGCTGGCCAAGTGCGGGTTGACTTCACACATATCTTTGAATTTCTTCTCAGATATGTGCAGGTTGCGTCACGATGTTTTCCTTCACCGTAAGAACATCGGATAAATGTACATATGTAAATCGAAAATAGCATTGGTACATGGAGGGATTCGAACCCAGGACCTGCAGATTGCAAGTCAAGTGCTTAAGCCCCTGAGCCACCGGTGCTCTTCCAAGTGATAATAGTAAAATATTGTATATATTATACTTGTATATATTATACAAAATCCTTCGAACTTTGTTTAATATGTAAATAAAATTATTTGGATGTAAAAGTGTTAATTATGAATCATAGTATAGATGAAGGTCAACCACATTGTATTACAATGAAGAGAACATTGCTAAAATCTGTTGGTACTCGGAAAGGCTTACTATAGACATGTTTTTCTTATATATAAAATTCTCGTGTCATAATGTTAGTTACCATACTCCTTGGAAACGACTTGACCGATTTATATAAAATTTTATGTGCATATACTATAGGTCTGAGAATTGTCTATCTGTTTTTAAACCCTCGCGGACGGTATCACGAGCGACAGCTAATATTCTATATATTTTTGGTTAAAAATATAGTTTTACAATTATTCAAAACACTTTAGAGCTGTTTAAATAGATATGTCAAGTTAGAATCTGTTTTCTATGGCATTGGTATACCCCTAACTGTAATCTTCTAATAATTAGTTCCATCTTTAGCTTTGTACTAATATCCAGGTATTTTTGTTAGACCTACTTAGTTTTTAATATCAAATATCACCTTATTATGTTTTTTTTCTTTAACAAAAAGGGCTAATGTTATAATAATGTTTCAGTTAACCTTTTAATTGTCCTAATAGATTCACAGTTACCAAACATATCAGCATACCTGGCCGCTATTTTAGAATTAGTTGAAAACAACATTCTAGTTTGTTCTATCGCATTTGTTTTTAAAACACAACTCTTAATTGCATCATAATCTAATTCTCTTAAATCATTCTTAAATTTTTCTATCTCTTTATAAATATCTGGTGACTCATTCACCGCGAATAATACCGGAGCACTAACTAAAGAGTAAGATTCTTTATTATCTGTTGTGAATTTCTGTAAGTCACTGGCCGCTTGCCATACTAAACTTAAATGGCAACCCAGTAAATAAGCCCTTTCTTGTTCTTTCTTACCTTTACCTGCTAATAAAACAGCACCCTCACATCCCCGACCGAATAAACTACCACCACCGTACAATGTCCGTAATGTCCACTCTTTTGTTGGTGATCCTAATACATTGGTCACATCAAAAGGCAAAGTATCACTATTTATTTCATACAAATCCAACATACTTAGAGGTTTACCTGGTAGCGGTAAGTTTTGAGAATCCCTATCACCAAAGAATTCACCTTCACTTATATCACGTAATGCTGTAGATATTAAATATGATAAATCTTGATTTTTCAAACGTGCCAGCATCCCATTAGCGGTAACGAGTAAGTAGTCACCGATTAATATAGCTATTTTATTAGCAAATAATTCTGTATCAAAATCTTTATATTTTCCTCTTGGTATATTCAGAAGACCTCTGTGAACTGAGTGACCTGTTCGTATCATCTCTGTTAATTCGGCAAGGTTACGTTGGCTCTCATTTACTTTATTGGCTTGCAAAGGTGACATTGGTGGGTTAACTGCTTTTGACAGAAGTAAGATGACTAAGCCCCATGGTTGTAGGTTGTTATGTTCATTATATATGACCGATTTTGCTGTTTTCATTAATGGATGGTTACTGTCCACCTAAAAGAGATGTAATATTTATTATTTTTTTAAATTTCAAAGTCAATTTAAGATACTAAATCTGGAGAATATTCTTGATATATACAGTGCTGGGGTTAAGGTTGAATGTTTACTAAGGCACTGGCTAGCAACAGGACCTACAGGTCTAAGAACTACAGTAACACATGACTCCTTTAACTCCCCCAAAGGCACAAAAAAGGTTTCGTAGCAATTTAGCTAAAAGAGATAGTAGCTACCTTAAACCATCCTAGATATGTATGACATTGAACATTAAATGTGTTAAGTATCTTATGTCTGTATGTTTACTTAATGATGGTAATGACCTTGCAGAAATGTTATGCAATCTGCAAGTTATCCATTGGTACATAATGATTTTAACACATAACAGAATCACTTGATTTATTTTGTAAAACCCAATACATAATATTTATTGTTTTAAGAGCAACAATTAAGGTGTTGTTAACATTAAAAAAAATTGCAGGGATATGACATCATCAGCTAAGATCTTAACAATTTAGTACTGTTTCATGATTAATTAATATATTAATACATGTATAGTCAGAAATTCATCGTTGTCTTTCATGTTTTTGTAAAATTGCAGAAATTAGTCATAGAGGTTGTACTTACCACTTTGCGTAAATGCATGGCCATATTAGCGAATTCGTCACTTAATAGCCATCTAAGATTCATGAAAGAGGTTGGATATCCAACAATTTTCTCTGCTTCTCTAATTATTTTGCTCCATTGTGTTATTGGAGGTCGAATCAGGTAATCTTCATGAGTTAAATTAGTCATGGTGCTTTCGAGTCGTATTTGGTGAGTTAAAAGCACTGTTCGGCGTAAGTGCCGTATCATAGAATAAGGCATTTTATTAAATAATGGTATCCTTAATTTTAAATACTATTTACATTCAAAATAAATAAATAAATCAGATGTAAAGTAAACGAAAATAAACGCGCGCGCTTAGTGTGGTACTGGTTATGTCACTATTTATTTTGACATTTCCTCGAGCCAATACAGTATCTGTGAATAGCGTCACAAACAACTTTGATTGAACAAGTTTCATAAAATTTAATTTAAATAAACGATCTAGAATCATTCTTCTATATTGTAAATTATAATACTTAAATTACTGCCAAGAATTTTTACACTTAAGTTATTTTAGACTTAGTTTTAAGTGTAAATCACATATTTGATGGATAGGTTATAATATACTCCGTAAACAGTAAAAGGAAATTGCGTAATTTTTATAATTTTTGAGGTTGAATTTTTTAATAATATGTTTGTACCAAAGTTTTATTGAAATGAAGGTTAAATTTTGTAAGCTAATAGTTATTTAAAATACGTCGGCAATGGGAATTATTTTAGGGTCAATGTATAGTAAGATATATTTATACTGAAATATATGAACGCATATTTATTCTATTAATCTAACATGCGCTAAATATTATGGGTTATATCTATAATAATAACATTTTTATAAAATGAATTACACTTAAAAAAGGAAATAAATGAATATATATAATAATAAGAAAAGAAAACTGGTTTGCTTTTATTTTTCAACCGTACAAGTGAAGAGGATGCATGATTTCGGGATGTGTATTTAGTAGAGGGGGCAATGATACTGGGGGAGGGGAGCAGAGGAATCGAGTCCGTTTTATAGAAAATGTGCGGCCAATACCATGTGTGAAAATATAATCGGCTATAAATAAACATAACCTTGATCTATCCAAGACTTAAGGCAACGTGTACTGTTTGTACCAACTAAATAAGGCAACCTGGTTAAACAAGGTCTGACACTCGGCTAGGCTCAAATCGAAATATCTATCTCGGAGCTGAGTGCCTAAGTGGACATTTCGTCTTAGGAAACAATGTTCTAATTTACATTTATATTGTAAATTAACCAGCTGTTTCTTTTATCTTTTACTCAAAGCTTGGTAGTAGCAATTTCCCACCACAGTTAGTGTCCTCGCAAAAGCTACTGCCAGTGTTTCTACTACTAGGAGCCGTGGTCTGCCGTGGTTGAATGTACTTATCAAAAGCATTCTTTCATTTCAAAATATACGCATTTTAAATTTTTAAATTAACATACATTTACGAATAGCCTGAAGTAATAAGGAATTAGATTTGAAACAATCATTACTCATACGCCATGGTGGCTTTGACTGCAATTAAGTGTTTCGTTTATAGCTAGATTTTATCTGTGCCCCATTTGAACGCAACGTTAATAAATACAAAGTACTGAACGTTAACGCTTCTACGGCGGCCAATCACGTGTGCGCGCGCTATTATTCAAAAATAGAAGGACCACTCGGTAGGGTTAGCATTAAGGCGGGTTTACAGGTTTGTAGGTTCTTTAATTGGAATTACAATAATGAACAATTAAGTGTTTGTAAAAAAAGTAGGCATAAAGTACTTATACCTTGTATTAAACGTTTTAGTAAAAATATAAAATTTTGAAATTATAGGACTTTATTTAGTTATACATACTATTAGGAAGAAAATCCAAAAATTTGGCAGTGTATTGACTCAACACTAGCCACTAAAATGTCGTTTGTTTCCCATCACTGTTCATTCTGACACTGGACTTTGTAACGAAAGCACGACATTCGCGCCAAAGGATTCTAATTAATAAATAAATGCTTATTAAATAAATTAACTAGATGTTAGTGCGCAATAGTATTGAAGTTAAATCAGACCAATCAAGTTTTAAAATAAAGTACATAATAATTATTATGAGGCTGTCAATGAGTGTATGATTTTGTGTCTAATATAAATTAACTTGAAATTCGAGCAAGAATCCGCAAAACTAGTTTACACTGTAATTTATGTTAAAGTGAGTTAATTTATAGATCTGAGAAATTTTTGATTTTTTGCAGAAAAAATGGTAACACTAGTCTGTAGGCCGCGGGCTAAGACGGTGGCTCGTTCGTAGCAATTAAAAATAAAACCGATGTATAATTTGTTGGCGGTTTATGTTGGCTCCATCCCGCGCCCGCAAAACGACTAAAATGTACATACATTTGCATTTTGATCGGCGCATTTCTGATTGAGTGAGGTCTTTAGGACTCGGGAGCGGGGATTGTATTTTTTTTAATTGCGAAAATCTCCGGTTGTATTTTTTTAGGCCTACGTATTTTTTGTTTTAAAAAATATTTTAACATTTGCGGCCAGTGTTAATAGTCGGTTTCGGACTTTACCACAGCGATCTTTTTACATCGATTCAGAAATAAAAAGTAAAAGCCATAAAATAGTATTTATCAGTTTTCGAAAGGCAGCCAGCGCGGGGGCGGGGCGGAACAATTACAACCAGATTGCTTTGTTTATTTCAGAGAAATAATTACCTTACGAACATTTGTAGTACACCTTTAATGTCTTAGCACAGTCAAGATGTTTTAATCGTTCATCGACTTTGGCCTTTTCTATTATGGCGCACCTCTTTTTGTCAGTTTTTCATGCCAAGCAAAGAGCGTAAGAGAAAGTATAATATCAAGTAAAATTTACGGAACTCGTGTAATTGTGCTGCAGTATTACTAAAATTATTCAAATCGTACGTTTGTGTACTAACAAATTGTTAACAATTTTGTTGTTTCCGAAATTTATGATATAGCGCTTACCGTAAATTAAAATCATCAGAGTGTGAAATTCTAACGTCCATAAAAGCGTCTTACATAGACATAAACACCTATTCATTTTCATTACTCATTATGGCCGCGGGGATCGCGCACCGTAGAAAATTAACCATTCGTTTATGGTCACCAAAAAGGTTGACTTATAAATATGCATAGAATATTTTTTTGAAAAAGGGAACCTTTAATAAGTGAGGTACGCTTCTCAGTAAATTGCTTCTTTGGTTATTATTCTCCCCATCGCCAATCCTATCCATTTAAAACCAATTATGTTTTATTATGGCCGATCGAAAGAGAAAGGTGATGACTGATGTCGCGTTAGAAAAGGATAGAGTGACGTTGACCACAGACAAGCGGAGTAACCTCGAGCGTGCCTTTTTTGTTTTGCACTTTTTTAATGCACACACGGGCACGGGCGCGGGCTGACTTGATGCCTTGTGAATGGAGGCCTAATGGACGCTTGGAAATATAAAATTAAATCGGATATAATGAGTTACATAGGCTATCACGATCGCGCGAGGGGTTCGACGGGTCGCGGAAGGCTTTTGTTCTTGCGGTCGACGAACTTAAGCCGTTTTTAGTAATTAAAAGTGTTTTCTTTTTTTGTTTGCTTCACGATGCTCGCAAAGTTTTGAGCTAATGGAACATTAATGTAAACTTTTAATATGCTTATTTCTTGAATAGCTTTAAGTTAATAGTGTCAGAGGTTACGTGGGTTAATGATCTGCTTGTAATTGAAATTTAATTAAACAAACAAATTGTTCCAATGTCATACATAATACAGCAAATTATTTTATACAATTTTAAAAACGAAAACTGTCTAATAAATTCATGATCGTAAAAAGTTAAGCGTGAACCAGAAGCAACGTAATCGATTAAACGATTCGAAACAAATTATTTTCCGTTAAGTAAACTTGTTTAGAAACTGCCACTTGATAGGCAATGATTAAAATTAGTTTCGGATTACTACAAATTTGAAAATAAATAAAGCGAATTTATATCGATTAATCGATTACGCTGCATCGAATGAATTTGGCTGTATGTTCAAGAAACCTTTGCCTAAATTTGTTATAAATACGTCCTGAAACACCTGTATCTGGGGTTTTTGTATTTTATCTATGCTTCTATAATCTATGTTCCATTACACCCCAATCTGTCTGACCGAATGCCACTAAACTTTAACTAATTATACAAATCTCTTTAAAAATCTATTTAAATCTTTTAAGTAACAAGATAGCTGTCAATTAAAAATCGTTCAATAGACGTCATTTATAGACGTTATTTTAATAAAATTAGTTATTTTCGTTTATTTAAAAGGTGCATTTAAATGCAGCTGCTTAGTAACATATCTGAAAAAAAGTAATAATTAACACGAAATGATAACACACGTTTGGTTGAGACCCGAAGGTGTGCTTTGGAAATTAAACGAGCAATTATAAGCGGCCTCGAGGTGTGTTCGTAATAATGCGCCATATTGCTTTTCGACAGATTAAAAATAAACTGTTAATTGTAATGTTATATTTCCGACAGATTATCCTTTTTAAAAGTTTACTGTTGCATTTATGGTTACTTAAATAGTCGCTAAGTTGTCAATTCTCATATTTAACTACATTAAGGATCTCTCTTATTGTTAAATCAACAATTGTTAGTATCGGTAGTATTTAAATAGGTAGTATTTACATGTGCCCACATCTCGGTAAACAGTGAGTCGAAGGAACCAGAGGGGATTTAGTGGGTAGGCTCCATGTCCCTTTAGGGATATGGAGAGAGTCCCACATAACCGGACTGGCTTTCCCCTCTTAAAAAAAGGATGGTAAATAGTAAAATTAGTACGGTAAAATGTCAAAAGATGGCGCTAGCAAAATATCTAATAACGTGTGCTATACGAAACCTAATTCTAAATGTTTATAGAAAAAAAATTACGCAGTTTGTATGTAAAGAAGGTAGATATAAAGTTAATATATATATAAATGGATGCATCCGTCCGTCTGAATGGGGAGCATTTGCCTACAATGTACAATGGCGTGAGGTTCGCTTTCAACTCGCCGCCTGCGCCTGCGCAATGCTAAGGAGGCTTCTTTATGGTACTGGATGCTATCGATGTGTCCTCGGCAGGTTAATGCCAAACAACTGAAGGTTTAGATCACATCAAGTATAAATAATGCCTTTCAAATAAAAAACAAACAACTCACGCTAGTAACTAAGAGGTGCAGAGACCACTAACTTCCATTTGGCGCTGTCCAGAAACAACTTTTTTATTTCAGCATTCATGCTCTTCGTTTCGGTTGCTTTTATGAAATATGTTGGTCAAAATACATGGTGATTATTGTTAGTTGTCTATACC